TTACCCCCCCCCCCCCCCACCCAGCCCTCCCATTCCCGCCTGGGTAGCCAATCTTGGACCAACCATGGGAAATATATTTCCTTGTAGAAGCCGATAAGTTTTTACTTCGTAGTGTACAATGCATCATTTTCGCCATCAATAAATTAAATAGGCATTCGTTCATTTAGGTTAACGGTACGCGCTCCAATCCCGTCTCCCAACGTTGGGAATATGATGCTTATGTTATGTAAGACTCATGATTGCTGATGTCTTCGTAAAGGTGTCAGGATTTTCCCATTTTTTACACATGGAACCTTAGGTGCTGAGTTCACAAGACGACACGAAATGAAGTGGTGGTTAGTAGATGTCGATGCGATGGGACATATATACCTCGTATATATTTCCCAGACATCTCTGAATTAACAAGAAACCGCATTTCATCCCTTCTGGAAGCATACCCTCAGACCTAGTCTAGATGGTTCAAGGAAATCTATTGATAGAAAGGCCTAATGTTCCACGTACGCATTGAAATGTTTCGTAAAACTGGAAAGAAGACTCTAATTAGTCTAACATAACACGGTCTCAACTAAATCCCTTGTAGAGAATGAGATTGACCCTTATCGGCTGATTAGTTCCGTAAATCGTGGATTGATATTCTTTTGAAAGAGAAATTGTAGGAGTAGGCCTCTGTTTACGACGGTCCCTCGGTTATGCCTGAACCTAACGTTAGTGAATCCCATGGAGAAGATGAATAGGGTCGAAAAAATGGGGAATACTAAAAAAATAATTTCACATGACTTCCTTATGTAGTATTATTACCAATATGACTCGAATCTCACGGTGAGAATCGGTATTGCCTCTTTCCAGGTGTCCAAGATCATCTTACATGGGGACTTTAACCTATTCAACTACGACTCAGACATTGCCTTGCTAAAATTAACAGAACCAGTTCAGCTGACCAATAGAGTGCAGTTGATTTGTCTCCCGTCGCATCAATTTCAGCTCTCTGACGCGAACCTAAAGAATGGAAATCTAGGATGGGTGAGATACCTGGCTGCTTCGATGCACATCTCTCTGTATCGTAGTTTATTGTTGTTTGTCTGTTTTGATGGCAGGTGGCTGGCTGGGGCAGCAACGCTAATAATAGCGTGAGTGATGAATTGACGGAGATAAATATCCCTGTGGTATTGAATAGAAAATGTCATCTGGAGACCACAGACTTCACAGGCGATAATCGTACCTCAATAACTCTTACCACGAACGTCTTTTGTGCCGGACACGATAGGAATACTTCTATTCAAGGTATGCCCATAAAGAAGCTGTACATAGTTTAATGAAATTTGATTCGTTGGCATGGAGTCAAACTGGAGATATACTTTGTGTCACATAAAACATCTGCTTTGGATTGCATCCTTGATATCAACTGTCATTCATTTTAAAATGTTGTCTTCCATCCTGAACTCATGGAAAAATAATGATAGTATAATGCTAAAAAATATTGACATACATTGAGGTTCTCTTTGTAAAAGAATGGGTGCAGTTGAAGTAAGATAGAAAAGCCACAATTTGAGTTACTTTTTGATTTTTAGAATTTTCAACATGCTGATTTATCCACGCTTGCAATTTGAGGTTCCTTAAGGAAATATAGTCTTATCCTAGCGATTCAATGGGACTGGCTGAAATTGAAGCATCATAAGTTGTCCTTGATTCAGGACGAAGGTATTAAAATGTGTGCTTATTATATAATCGTTTTCTGATTGAAAAAAGTATGACATCAGGAGCAAGTTTCAATATCGTTCTTTCGGCCTTGAGGAGGATTCATATACGACAGTAAATGGCGCTAAAATATAAAACGGTTGTCACCTAATACCGTCAACACGAAATCAAAAAGCTGGCCGCTGGCGGACTTCCGACAACTGAAGGAGAGGAACTTCCGCTGCAGCAAAAATGGTGGTCCATCAGGGAAACAGTGCATTTAATCCCTGGAGACATCTCTGGCCGAAAAGGCATGACTTTTCTTGAGTCGCTAGCAGCTACAGGCAAAAAAAGCACATTGTTCCGTCAGCGCTACGTCCACGACTACGTCATAGAATGACGTCGCAATTGGCAAACAGCTGCCAGCGGAAAATTGCGAACTACGGGAACACTAAACAGCCTCAACAATCTTTGCATGATGTCATATCATCGGATGCTAGCTCAGCAGAGCTGGCAGAGCCAGCAGCAAAAAAAGACACGTCCATGGACTTGTAGGGGTCAAGCGTGAGAGTACGAAGGGCATGGGATTGAAGGAGGAGAGGCACTAGGTAATGAAGGAGAATCTGGATGGAAATATCACAGAAAGTTTGAATGTTTGCGCACAGAGCATTCAGAGCAGTAAATATATATCTAATCTAATATCTAATATATATAGACGATCGTCTATATATATTAGATGAAAGTAGAATTGTTTCTTTACTCAGCTATTTCTTTACCAAGTTTAAACTTTCCTGCACCCTCCGTTTTGCTGGATCTATGCCCACAGGGGATGGATAAAAAATTTTGTATTTTTCCTTATCTCATCGTGTTGGTATGAACGTCTATGCCACGTTTACGCTTTCCATGTCCAACGGGACATGGAAGGCAAGATAAGCCAAAACAAAGGCAAGTAAAGGCCAGGAATTGAACCCTGGACTCACGATTATCGGCCCGATATTCTACCACTACACCACCGAAACAGAGATACACAATGGAGCTTTCGATGACATCCTTATCCATCACGATCTATATTTACAAAAAACTTCTTCCCCCAAAATTTGTACCCCCAGGGCATGAACCTCCAAAGTCGGATTTTTTCTGAACTCTGCACCCCAAAAGGTACATGTGTACCAAGTTTCAGATTTCTAACTCTTCTAGAACATGGTTAGAATTAGCGTCAGTCAGTCAGTCAGTCAGTCA